TACCTAGCATCCAGACCTTTGACGGATGAATGGTATTTAAGACCCCCAATCTAGGTATTTTGTGATAGCAGTGAAAATTGATCTAAGTATTTTGTGATAGGAGTTCTAATCCTCTCTACCCAAACCCACTACAAACTGTTGCCTAAAGTTATCTTCAAAGTATTTACAAAGAATAAAAATAGAGTTTCATTCCATCTATAGACTAGACTATCCACTAGGTATTAGGATCACAGGCCTTCACATATAGTGGTAGATGTGATGATAACATATTACATAACAAATGACATGTACAGTTGTAGTGTATCAAGGATAGTCCAGAAGGATATCCATTAGTACAACTGCTGTGGGAAGATGTAAAAAACAAGGATTCTGACCTAAACTGCATAACTGATAACCACACATTTATGTAAGATTTAAGAATTTATTTTCATAAGAATGTATTTTTCAAAAGAAAAAAATACTGAAGTTTAAAAATAAAGATGCATCAATTTCCTCTTCCAGTATTTCTTCTTGTGTCTGTGAGAAGTTTAGAATATTAGTGGACACTTGATTAGATAAGTCAAGTGAGGAGAACTGGACAGGAAGTTGTTGAACTAAAGTCAGCGAGTAAGTGGACATCGTTGAATTGACAGTAAGCTATAAAGCAAATATCTATCTTAAAGGAAGGAAAGAGTTTAGGAAAATTACAACAGTGCAGTATCCTCACATCAGGCTTAAACAGTACTTGGATATACCAGACTGCCAACCTAAGTTGGGTCAGAAGGAATAGAACCATGATTATCAGTGTATCACAAGACACCAGTATGTTCATATAGTCAAGAAAAAGCAAACACAAAAGCAATGCTACAAATATTGTGATATTTGTAGCAAGTATATATTGCAAATATATATTTAGAATAACATTTCAACTATTATTTAGTTAAAAATCTAATTTTCTTGGTACATTTAATCATGGATTTTATTCTCAATGTGATCAACAGGGACTATGAATTAAATGTAGTACCTGTCCTCACCACTGTGATTGTGGTTCTTGAACACAAAGACAGGCAATTTTGCACAACGTATTTTAAACAAAAGAGCATTATGTCACCTGAAGAACAACAACCCCAATGCAAAAGAAGGGGAAGCCTGGCTATGATATAAATACTGAGTAACCGTCTCTCACTCACCAATCTGGAACCTTCTTAGGATGGCTTTTTATTATTTTAATATTATATTATAAATCCTAATTTTAGAGCCTAATTCATGAAATTTTAGGGAATAAACTTTCTTTTTCTTTGAGATCTAACAGAATTTCTCTGACAAAAAGTCTGAACTTTATTGTCTTTCAAATTGTTGGATTAAGAACTTCACGAAATTCTTCTTATAAAAAATCCAACACATACATGTGTGCATACACACACACGTGTAATGTATTTTCTTTATTAAATAACCTTTACTATTACATTTTCCATTCGATTTTTAAAGGCTATTCATGATCCACTAAATTGATTTCAAGACTACAAAGCAGTCATGCCCGAGTTTGAATACAACTGGAGGACTGGATAAGACATTACTACAAGGTACCCAATAGAATTACTCCCCAAAAAACCCAAAGAACTATGACTAGATTTCCTCATAGGTCTCGAACAATGCATCCTTGGACAGCTACACAGGATCTGTAAAGGAAGACACTTTATGTTCAGAGACATACACCTGGCCCTAAGGAGCTTGTATAAGAGTTTCAAAGAGAAAAATGTTTACTTCTGTCACCAAGCAAGTAGTGCCACCTCCATGAATCAAAATGGTTTGACCTAACCAAATACCCATCACAGGCAGAAGGAGGATAATGCTATACATCTCCTCCAAGCTTTGCATTACAGTTAATAGGGAACAACATGGAGAATGGTTAATAAATAACTGACTGGTTTCTGTCTGTGGTTTTTGGCTCCTGTAGTTTATGCGTGTCTGTCCAATTGTGATTCAAATAATGAAAATGCAGCTGGATCCAGGTACGTGATATTGAGTTTAGCTAAACCTTAAAGTATAACTCAGAATAAGATTAAATTTTACCAAAGATGAAGGAACATTAAAACTATGGTAGGCCCATTGGGCTCAAATAACTTGCTAGTGATGAATTGAAAACAGAAAATAGCCCTTCTAAATTGCACTATTGTTATAATCAAGAGAAATGAAAATATTCCTTTTTTTAAGCAAATCTAAATAGTAAAGGACAAGTGACCTAAAATAAGACAACTACAATAAAAATGTATAGACCATCTACTGTTATTGTATTTAAAATAACAACCCTAGAGGGGAGCTGGGAAGAAGGCAGATCGATAAGTAGCAAGGTAAAGAGTCTCTCTGAGAGGAAGAGCTCACACGCTAGAATTTAACATCATGGAGAAGACCAGACAAAAGGAGAGGGATTCTCATGACCCAGGAAGAAAATAAGGTGGGGAAAAAGAAAATAACAACCCTTGGTCATGCTATCTGACAATGACTGACTCTTGGTGGGTTAATTTTTTCTGATTTCTTTAGCATATCCTTAATTTACAGTTGACTAACTAGCCATTAATGAATATTGATGGGAGAAAAGGTTGATTTGTCTTTTTCTTCCCACATGATTCTTAAAGAACATTTCTGATATTTTCACATAACCATACCAAGCCTAGGCTATGATCAATGCACATTAAGAGACATACTTGTTCAGAGAAGGACTGAGCGTGCTTTCCACTTTGGAAATTACAGCCATCATGGTTTCCATCCTTCCCAAAACATCATTATTACTTTCACATGATTTATGGCTGAAGGTATGAGAGATGGTGCATAGAGCCAATGTCAAATTCCCATATGGCATATAACACAAGCCAAACCGTGAAAAACTCATAAATGTGGGTAGATCAGGTTCATCAAAGAAAGAAACAAGAGGGTTCCAGAGACTGAACAGGAAAACTCGCCAGGTAATTCTATAAAGTCATGTCATTTCAAAACAGCAGTAATAAAAACACAGCCCTGCCAGGAACACAGAACACTTGACCCAGACATTAGGACAGTAAAATAGCAATCAGGTAGAAACAAACATTATCAGTCAACCCTGTTTATTTTTGGTAACCTACTTTTTGTTTTTCTTCTTGACCTAAAACTGAAATTGGAATTATAATTTTTGATGATATCAAAAGGGACAAAGTGGAAGTCCCCATAAATACTGAAATAACTATAACCCTCATGAAATATTAAAAGGAAAACAAGTACCAAGTTGTCTTCAAAGAGGTTATAAAATGATATTTAACAGCATGCTAAATCATAGCAATCAAAAACAGACAAATATTTATCATGTCACAGATATTTTTACATTCACTGCTAAGATGTTGAATATCTCCGGACATGTTTCCTAATCATTTCAAACATTATTTATTACTACACAAAAATAAATTTGATAAAACCAGTATATTCTGGAACAAGAATTTGAGGAAAAATAATTTAAGAACTGTAAACAAAATAAAGAGAACAATCCAAGAGATTATGACTTGAAGGGAAGGTAAGCGATAGAGGTTATGCAGACTAAAGGCAATTGTAGAATTGTTTCAGGAAGAATGCATGCAAAGAACAGAAGGGTAAGTCTGAGAGGAAGTAAGCTGAGGTTATGGTCTGGGGAACAGTGATGCCTGCAGAAAGTATACACACTACACAGCACCAAAAATCCACTTCTCTGAGCACTTCTGCCATCTCTGTATTAGTTCATTTTTAGGCTGCAATAACTCACCCAGAAATTCCATTACCAGGAATTTAACATGGAGAAAGGAAGGGACAAGGGGCAAGGGGCAGAAGGTAAGGAGAAGAGGACAGGGGATGCCCAGCCAAACGCTTTTACAACAGACACCAGACTCAACTGCTATCCATTGTTGGGCTCCTGACGCTTCAGCTGACACACACCCCACCATGAAGTGCTGCCCAGACTCAAAGGGTAACTGGTTTCCCACACCTTGAAGGAGCCACTGATTTAGGTGTATTGTTAAGTTGTTGGGAGCCGTGGCACTGTCAAGTCATCAGACGCGGTGATTGCGAGGCCTGTGGGAAAGTACAAAAGCCTGAGCTAGATTACCCCTCTCATCGAGCCCGCCTGTGTGGCACCTGTTTCTTATCACCCCACTAAGTTCCCGCCTCACAGGGTAGTCTGCCTAGCTATTAATCCTATATATAGCCAGTGCCTCCACCCCCGAGAGAGACTGAAGCACGAAAGGAGCCGCGGGGAGCGGACCGGTAGAGGCTTCGGGAGAGACTGAAGCACGGAAGGAGCCGCGGGGAGCGGACCGGTAGAGGCTTCGGGGCAGACTGTATAAGGAGAGAATAAAGAAAAGCCTGACCACCGCCAGACCTTGTCGTGTGTCTTTCCTGCCGGCCGGGAGCGACATCGACATTAAGTAAGTATAAGTTTTTAACTTTAAGCTATAATGCAGCTGAACAAAACATTTGCTCCACAGAAACAATGAATTACAACCTGGTAGGGGCATCTACCATACTCCACCCTGTCTGGGCCTTTCAGTGCTCAAGCACAATGCTGAGAACAGAGACAAAAGAACATGACTAATACAGAGCCTGCAGAAGCGTTCAGCAAAACTGTCAGGAGACCGGCCAGCATGCACGACAAGGACACCAAAGATGAAGAGAATTTCAAGTAGATAAATCTGTAAGCACATCAAACTTCATGGGAAGAAAGAAAAGAGTAAAAATTTAACAATTATTAAAACCCATACTCTTCATTGACCTAATAATGGGGAGATTTTTAATTGATTTAATAGCTCAGTGGCATTTCATGTGTAAAAAGAATTTCAACAGTGCGTGGAAGACAGAAATGCAGTGTCACGGTCTGAGTGAGTGGTTACAAAACACAGCAAGATCTTCGCTAGTTACTCGGTTACATATACCGGGCCCCAGATGTACAAAAACTTCACTGAAAGATGAACAGTTGAAAATCACCTCAATGACATAGTAAGAAAAAAGGATTAATAAGCTTTTACCTTCTTGTGATTCTTGTAAACATTTCTGTGAGCAAATCCCTTGCCACAAAGCTTGCATTTGTAAGGCTTATCTTCACTGTGGATTACTTTGTGGGCCCCCACTTGATCAAGCCTCTTGAAAGATTTATTACAAATCTCACATTTATAGGGTCGTTTTTCTGTGAAAAATGAGTGAAGACAATCTCATATCTATATAAAGGTAAAGGATAAAAAGGGACATGTCCTTACCTTAAATTGCTCATTCTACATAACTAAAGCAAAAAGCAATGTCAAGTTAAAACAAAACAGGAAGAAAAAAGCACCAAGCAGTTTGCTCACATTGGATATGTGGTGTATTTCCAGATGAAGTGTCAGCTTTCTCTCCTACAGGGCATTGTAAAACTAAAGTATTTTATTAGAAAGAGGTTTACATTCAAAGAAGAAATCCTATTTCCAGATGAAAAATCTGCTGATACATGTGAGTTCAAATCAGAGTCCTGGCTAGGGGTTACTGAGAGAGGTCTGGCACGGACAGAGGTAACAGCAAAGCTGCCTCTTGCCAGGTCACACAGCACCCATACAGGCGGAGTTTCCAGGGGTCAGCAGGAACTAAACATTTACCCAAGTCTGTCAAACCCATAATTATGGCATTTTCATAATGCTGACAACTAAATTTTAAAAATATTGTGTGAATCAACATAACATATTTAAAAGTTCTGGTTTTAATTCACTAAACACTTATACCTATGGATGTGGATATTCAAAAACATTCTGACTTCAACAGCTTCAAATTACAAGCATCTTATGTTCTAAGAGACTTCTAAAGCAAAAATTATTTTCCTTTTTTTTTGTTAAATCTGCCTAAGTAAAACAAACTTACTATTCAAGCTTGCTTAAAATGAAAGCTATGGCTTTAAAATATTTTCTCAAAATACATTTATAAATTTCTCAATAATATTTATTAGCACCATAATTAAGATATAAAGTATCTAGAAATGTAAGAGGTGCAATTGTTGAATCTCTAGTAAATGTCAAAAGCTTGGCCAGCACAGTACATAAATGAATTTACTTAATCTTCATAGTTAATGTTTTTGAAAGTCAGGTAGCAGTATCCCATTTTACAGATGAGGAATAAAGGAACAGAGGCTCCAGAAGGAGTAAGTGATATCAAATGGTGACTCTGATGCTTACCTTTAATTAAATCACTTAACAAATGAAGGTCTAGCGAATTAAGTTACTTGTTCAAAACTTCATGACTAGTTAATGGCCAACCTAGACATCCAGCCATTACCCTTTGAGACCTCATGAAAATAATACAGTTATCCTTCTGCAGTGATCTCAATATATAATGAAGAAGTATAGCATTTACCTGAGTGAGTGATCATATGACGCTTCAGCTGATTAGCTGAAATAAATTTCTTCATGCATTCTTGACAGTCAAATATCTCATGAATCTGGAAAAGATTATACTGACCATTAAATAAACAGCTGAAATCAACTAAATTACTCAAAGCTCATCCCAAAGTTTAAACCAACAGTTGCTACTGCAGTATCTGTTCATATTATTCCATACAAATTAAAAATATAGAAAACATTATTTAATAAAATATTATAAAAAATGAAGTCACTTTACTTAAATATGCAGTATATAGTCTAGTCAGTGTTTATTAAATGTGTACACTAAAAGAATTACACTTCATATTCACTCTTGTTATGCACAAATTTAGACTTGGAAGTATGTAACTTGCAGGAAATTATATTCCTTTGTTGTAGATAATGATATTTTAAACTGCAATGTACTAATACAGAGTCAAACATTGATTGCAGGCTAGAAGAGATATGCATCTGAATACATTTACTCCATATGTAGGATCATGCATTGATTCTATCTGACTATATAGAAGTCAAATTCATCAGAGAACCACAATAAAAAAAAATCAAGGAAGAAGCTCCAAGAGTATAATGTAACAGATATGTTACATTAACAGGATAAACAGGTCTAAAGTACAACATAAGGAATAAAGTCAATAATAATACGTAATATTCAATATTTTTTGCTAAATGAGAGGATTACAGCTGCTTTTGCCAGAGTACTAGGAGGATGGGCAAATATGAATTGAATATGTTAAACTGTTTTGCCATAATGGCTATTTTGCTAAATATAAGTATCTTACAACTCATGCCACATAACCTGTACATAGACAAATAAAATGTATTTTTACAAAACATAAGAAGCTACAGCTTTAAGGAGAAACCAGCTCATATAAATGTTACAACTGGATGATACATTAATTCTTTCTCACCCAGGTTGCCATCTGAGAAATTAGGCAGTGTGAAAAGTAGAAGCCTGGCTTATTATCAGAAAAAAATATGCTCAGTTCTAAAAGGAATGCATTAGGTTAAGTGATGTCAGAAATTTTTATTTTCCCAATAAAAAATAGCATCATACTGTTTTGATAAAGATTCTCAAGTGGTTTTAGTGAAGTCCTGTTTTGTGTCAGCCTCACTGAAGTTATAGCTGATTCCCAATACAGGACCACAGACAAGCAAAGGCCCTTCTGCAAGAAGGGAAGATAGTGACCATCCTGCAGAATAACTAGCGACACAGGTCACCACGCTGACCCGGTGGGGCACAGGAGTCATGAGTGGTCCTGTAATGATCTCCCTGATCTACAGGGCCATTCATGACAGGCCTCAAAGCCAGCAGAGTACAGAGGTTCTGGGAGAAGGCCAACAGATTCAAGGCCTCAGTGGATTGTTACTCTCTTCCTGTGCACATGACAAGTCTAAGGCCACCAATCTTCCTATGCTTCTGTCAATTAAGACTTGATGTACCAAAAAGCTCAATTAGAGGAAGTAGTAAAACATGGAGAATCAGATAGCATCTGAGAGACATAACTTCCCTGGTGTCTTGCTGTGATACCTCAGTATCTAATCTTGATCCGGGAATAAGATCAATTCCAGAGACTTTGGTTGCTAAGAAGCGAGAGGCCTGTGCTAGCACCGGGGAAAACAGGCTAAAAGCTTGCAGCCTGTAGGTGTTAAAGGTCTCGTGGGCTCACACCCAGCAAGGCCTGCACGGTGACTTCTGCTGAACACTGATGTCTTAAGAGCAGTGATGTGAAATGTAATGCTTATTTAAAGGTAATAGGAGTAGATTTATGTTCTTAAACCCTGCCTCTGTAATTCATAGCACATAATTTTATAATAATAAACAGATGATAACCCTTCTGAGTCAAACTGAAAATGTTCATGTATTTTCATCTTTAATACCAAGTTTTTGTTGGTAGATCAAATGTTTATATTCATTAAATAATCTATAAAATGGTAATTTAAATAAAGTAGGCACAGAATTCTGATTTGTTCACTTCTTAACTCTCACAGCTTCTGAAACATGAAAGGTATTTTGAGTTTGAATTAAACTGATAATCTTCAAATTATTAAAGAAATCATTTACTGTACACAAAAGTGTGTGAAAGCTACTCTCAAAATTCCTAAGTTGGTTTAATAAAAGCAATTTAAAGTAAAAGTGATAGATAACAGCACTTAATGCCAAGCTAAAAACATAGTGTGTAAAATTTAGTACATCATATTGATCTAGAAGATCATAATTTGAAACTCTACATTAAATAATTTTTAAGAAGGATCATAATAATAAGGTATTGCTGTAATAAAGGACAGCATCCACCAATATAAAATGCTTACTGTACTGTAATTTAGCATTATAATAAAGCACCATCTTCTGGCAAGGTGAAATACGGCAACTAAACTCTACTAGACATTAAGACTCATCCAAGTGAAACATCACAATTGGAGTCATTTTAAAAACTTGTGTATATATTTAGAAAAGCTAGAATTGGGTGATTATGCTCTCATGAAGGGAAGAAAGGGCTGCATCACACTAATAATTTATTGCATTCTCTAACTATTAATAATTTAAAAGCATGAGGAGAAATTTGGCCTGTATTCCATCATCAGCATGTACAATTATCTTCTATGAAGCTCTCTCCATCAAGAGAAAAAAGTTCTTATATTAAGAAAAAGACAAAATAGGACATTATCCCCAAATATGCACCACAGACAATTTAAATAAGTCTACTTGTTCAAGTATCTTAAATTTCAATCTCTAAGATTTAAACACATCAGAGAAATAAATTATAGGATGATAAAAGAGAATGTTCAGAAAATAGTATTCCAGATAACTTCTGCTTCCCCAGCTATAACGGTAACGGGAAGAAAGAAAAGGAGACTTACAAGAAAGAAGACCTAGAAGATGATAATAAGTTCAATGTCTCATTTTAAAATGAGAAAACAAAGTCCCAGTGTTAATGCAGGGTTAGTGACCAAAGAAAAAACACCCTAACCTGAATCTCAATGCTTACTCCACTATTCTTCCACAAATGGACCAAAACTACTCACCACACAGAATGTAACCACTGGCACGTCAATGTAATTTAACTATCTTGTGTGTTATAAACTAAATCCTCAGAATACAGTTGGAACTACTAGGTTAAAAGTCATATGAATTTACATCCTATTTAATCATCACGGAATATATCTATATATGTAGACAATGAAAATTCATTTTAGAAATCATAAAAAAGTAATTTTACTTTCATTACTACCACTTTATCTTTCCTTGTGTATTATTTCACTCAAAGAAAATGTTTCATGCTTCTAAATATTCTGAAAGTAGAAGAAATTACATATCAGGGTCCTGGCTTAGATCCCCAATCTCCCAAATCAGTATATGGCAAAGGCTTAAATAGATGAGATAAGTGGTATGATTTTAGGGCTCCAGGAGGATCAAAACCCTCTGCAGAGTTCAAGACTCTGGGAGCTAAGACAAGGAGTGTCTCTGGGCAGCCCATATTTATTTTTTCAGTCAAGGAAGGAATTACAGTGGAAAATGCATAAACTCAGCAGGATCTAGGGAGTGGTTCAAAAATCTTTTCCAAACAGCAGATTATGTTAATTTAGGAGAAGTATCTCAAAGTATAATCCTGAGATAACTCAGGAAGGTGTAGATGATCTTATGGTAAAAAGAGTCAATGGGAAATCTCAGATGAGTGGACCAATAATCCCATTTCTTCCTTTTATCCCATAAAGAAATATGTAAAACCAGTCACTATGAATTTGTAGTCCCCAACAATTAGGAAATAATCATCTACATCTTTGTTATAATAAAACACAACATGAATACTTTGAATCTTGTCATGAGGTGAACAAAATCTAAATTGTACTTTAATTCTATTTAGCTAACTGATGTTGTTAGCTAATAATTACCATTTTTTGGACCAATTTCCACAGCAAAATAATGTACTGACTTTTAAATTTATTTTCTCCTAATACAATCATTTGGTTTTGCTAATGGCACTTGGATACACAAATCTATGAGTGTATATTTTATTATATCAATGTCAAAAAAACAGAGTAAAGTAAAATCAAGTTTAATAAAACATTATACTGTGAATTCAAAGGACTATTTTGTTGTATCAAAATGGAACTTGTTTTGGTGTATCAGACTAAACATAATACATATTCTTTTTAATAGCCAAAGATTCCTTCCCAGCACACTGTACATACCAAACAAAGGTATGGTTTTCTCATTAATTTATTTATCTATTGCTCTTCCTGAGCAAATAACAATTGATAAAGCATGAAACCAAATCAAGGTTAAGTAAAGGATTCAGCTAGACATGACACCTGGCACTGAAGAAGTATTTCAATTAATTGTGAATAATAACAATGTAAAATATCCTTTTACTTATTACATATTAGTGTTACATTCTAGAACATGTTATCACTTAATGGCAAACCTCTGTCTTAACCATATTAAAAAAAATCAGCTGAAAGTTTTTATGGTAGACACTGTAAATGACAGGAAGATGTTTTACTGTGATGAAGGTTAACTTTTATTCTACTAACCTTTCTGTGTTGTTGGAGGCTTGATGGCGAGGAACACTTTTTATTGCACACTGAACATATGAGCTTTTTCTTGGTATCTCCTAAAATAAAAGTAAAATACCATCATAAGTTAAGTGAGAGTACTGAGAGGTACAACTGTTTCAGGGCTTCTACACATGTAATTTCATTTCCATAATTCAGAATCTCACATCCATTTAGATGCATGTAGATAAACCCATAAACTCAGGTAAAGAGCCGGTAGTATTTTGGATCCTTTCCTTTAAAATTTGAGAAATCTTCAGCTTAATACACTATTTTCACTTTTTCATGTATTGACATAGTATTAAACGAGAAAAACACATTTCAAAAAAATCAAATGAAAATTAACCAAATCTGTACTGTCACAATAACCATAAAATCATGTTTTTCACTTCTGATTGTCTGATTTCAAATATACAAATTAAACATATAGCTAGGTATGGTAGTGCACATCTGTAATCCCAGCATTTGTGAAGCTGAGCAAGAAAGATCATGAATTCAAGGCCACATGAGTTAATAATGCGTTCAAGGTTAACCTGACTTTATAGTGAGACCCTAACTTAAAAAAACAAAAGGAAGCAACAACCATGTATGTTCACCCCAAGACCCCAGTAATGACTCCTAGTCCACACCCATTCCCACTGCAAGCATAATTCCATCCACTTCCCAGTTCTCTTATTATTTTGAAGCACATTCAAAGCAAGTAGAAACAAAAAATTCCCAAAAAATTTTACTATAAGATCATGTTTATCATGGAAACATACAATTTTTAAAAACCACAAATATGAATTTTTCAAGATTTTGCAGGTAGCAACACATCCATTTAGAACACTATTCTCCTCATGTTAACATTTCAGTCAAGAAAATTTTCTTGGTGATTGACATGTAAGAAAGCTACTGAATGAGCAAATGAGCATCTGACAGCATATATCTGTTCATCAGTTCCCTACAAATATCTGTTTTACATGAAAGACCACTGACAAAGAATATTCCCTGTTTTCTGACTCCCATTAGTTGGGTTTGACCATCTCTGGTCGACAATGTTTAACTGCCCCATCTCATTATTCAGGGGAACTATTCCTGAAGACTGGCCACATCTTTCCCACCAGGGAAGTCAGAGGAGGAAGAGAGGACAGAAACAAGTGGTCTCTCCAAGCACTGTTCTCCCTATGCCCTGGTCCTCCCACCGCTGCTTTTCCAGCCACTGGTTACACACTAACCTCAACCCATGCTCTCAAATCTCTTCTCTCCTCCTCATATATCTTTCACTTCATTTTAGAACTGGAAAATTTTCTTGGAAAGAAATGCAGAAAAGAATCAGGACTATTCATCTGAGAATTCAGATACATGTTATCTTCCATGTACTGTTAGCATTTACAGGAACTAGGCAAATGAGAAAGACAACAACCGACTTAAGGAACTCAGTCCTTTAATTTTCTGTATTCTGTTTGTGTAGCCATGAAGTTCCCCCACACACTACCAGCTTTCCTAGATTCAAGGCCAGCAGCAACAACACAAAGCCACAACTAGAATGTATACTTTTGGCTTTCCTGTATGCAAGTAAATCTGATGTATGACTTTCACATGCAAGTTTCAAAACTATTCAGGAGGATGGGGGATGTAGCTCAGTTGACAATGCTTGCATAACATGTGCAAGGCTCGAGGTTGGATCGCCAGCACCACCACAAAAAAGTTCAAGAGCATTTTAAGGGAGTAGGTGGCTAGAGAAATTTGTACAACCATACTAACCAGTTGGTCAGTTAGTCACGAGTTACAACACAGTATGGGTTAAGGATGCGTCTAGGAACTATTCTAAAAACCTACATACCATATGTTATAGTTTTTATGGAAAATTACGACCTTTATTTAAGTACTCAAGTTTCTTTCACTCAGCATCTTGAATTTATACGACAAAAAAGGAAATTTTTCATCATAAGTATAAGCTGCAAGATCTATTTCCTTGAATATCTTTGTCTTTTCATAATAAGGAGTTCTAAAACTATATATGCAAGTACTGCTTTGCTTGCTATTCTCAATAGGAAATACTCATGCCTCAAGTGTGTGTTTAGTTTATAACAAGGAGAGAGGTCAGAGAGATCATGAATGAGAAACTGAAATCATGAACCAAATCCACAAAAACATACGTATAGTGACTTTTGGCTAAAATACAGCAAGAGTTCAGATTTTATATAACCTACAACATAGAAAAAATAACAAAACAAAATTTCCTTTCATAAATTATTTCCTACAAATCACCATGAATTTCCAGACTCAGTAATATTAGAATATCCTATGCCAATTACAAGAAGCCTCAAAATTTATGCTTAAAGCATAGCATGACAACCAAATGCCCAGTAACACGAATGCAAAAATTTCCAGAGTTTCAGTATGCATCTGGTTTTCTACTTAGTTCAGCAAAATTAACTTTAAAACTGACATGCAACTTTTATTACAATACATTACAGACATAGATAGAGAAAATTAAGAGCAGCACGGTAACCAAAATAGTATTACAAAAAAAAAAAAAAAACCTATGAATGCAAGTCTATCAAAAAGTTATGCGTGCCTTTCAGAATCACAGGAAAATGTTATTTTCCACCTATCAATTATGTGTTCTTCAAAAGGAAAAACAGAAAACTACACTGCAAAGTCCCAGTGATGGGCACCAACCTAAAGGGGTATCTCACAAGACTACCTTCCATCACCCCGGCTTTCAAAGATAGCTCTCACTGATTGTGCTGCCCAAACCAACACTGCTAATTTGGAGTCAGCAGCCAGGCTCACAGCAACAGCTTCTGACTTTATTATTATTAAAGCTGATACTTTTGGAACAGTGAACAAACATAAAGGATGTTAGGCTGCATACTCTTCACAAGAGTATGAGAAAAAGGAAAAAAAGAACTTACTTTCGCACTATCCAGAAACACATCTGTACCGACTTCCCAGAAGCCAATGGCAAAGGCAAATGTACAAGGAGAGAATATGTCACCAGGATGGGGGGAGTTCAACAAACCTCAGCATCTTCTGAGGAGAAGATGCTTAAGAAGTAAAAGGTTAACTGGGACAGTACAGCCCAATGGCTCATTTAGTGCAAAAGATTCAGTCTCTGAACCAAAACACATTTACTGATTTCTACAAAGCACCAAACAGATAAAATCTAAGTTTAGCTAACCATTAGAAGGACTCTGGCACTTGCTTTATTAATTAACATGTACTCAATCTTCATTTCAAAACGTAGTTGGAATTTTCAACAATATGGAAGAAATGTAAGCATTTAAAGATTGAATTTTTCTGTTAAAAATATTAAGGCAGAAAGGCATCCGTTAGTTTCAAAATACACATATAACTATCAATCTCAACAATTTATGAAAGAAAAATTTCATATGCTATTATCAAAAATTATTCTTTTTTAACATATCTATCAAGCACAACCAGATTCAAGTTTAGGTTTACAATTCTGACCAATTCAGAGAAAGCAGAACTAACAAATGTTGTTTGAAATCTACTTGAAAAAGTGGTGAACGAAAATAATCCACATCTGTGTGAAACATAATGGAAAAGTCAGCTTTTCTCTTCAAGAGTGAGAATTTAAAACAGATCGCTGTGGCCTGGGGAAAGGAAACCCCTTTAAAATCGACCTTCCAGTGACTCCTCACCAGTGTGGACATTTTCCTGGTGTCTTTTCAGGGCATCCTTGCTCTTCAGCCTCTTCCCGCAGCTGTCAGCCTTGCACACGAACCTGGCATCGCCCCGGCAAGTCTCTTGGTGCTGCTCAAAACTACAAGACAAACATTAAAGGCAGAAAGGATGAACAAATGCCGAAGATCCCTACAAAATTCCAACATCACAGCAGGCTTTTGGAACACATGCTCCCTACTAGAGCCTCAGGGTCATTTCATGCATTACCTATGCAGGTAAGAAAGAAAAGCATTTAAATCCTTTCATTTAATTAGTGTAATATTGAGTCACTACCAAGCATGAAGTTATGCATGCAAAAAAATGACCCACAATTATAAAACCGCCATCTCATAACTCAGACACAAAACCTCAACGCTGAACTGAAGGAAGAATTGCAAAAAGAGCACTGAAAACTTCGTGAAGAATCCTTCAGACTGCTTTTCGCTGTACACTGAAGACCACTGAGGGGAAATAGGGGAAAAAAGACAGACAGTAACAAAAGCTGGGACTCTAAGAAAACAATGAGCGAATTCGCTTTGAATATAATCACATTCACAATCATCTTTCATTCTGGTTTGTGTTTGTTTGCGTGTTAGGGTTTTTTTGTTTGTTTTTGCCTTTAAAGATTTTTTTTAATGTATACTTTATTTAGGCTCTAATTCATCAAGGGTATCTTTCATGTGTACTATATAATGCTAACTGCAATAAATAAAAGCTGACTAGAATGCAGTTTTTGAGTGTATTTACAAAACACTACACAGTTCTTCCTTGGTGAGTATTTTAGTTTTTAAATTTTACTTTTTATTAACACATGCTTGCAGGATATGACGGTGCCTTCCTGTGTGGAGCTGGCACATAAGCAAAGGGCATCCTAATTATTTCTTTCATCCCTTTCCTTGTATCTCTAGATCACCTTCCCTTTTGTATTAAAAAAAAAAAAAACCTATCTCCATGCCTACTACTGTCTTTTACTTTGCTTTTCATTTATATTTTCAGTTTTTCATGTAAAAGAAATCGTGCAAAGTTTAATCTTGTGTGTCTGATTTAACTTAAAATTGTTCTCAAGGTACACCCATTTTCCCACAAATGATACAAATCTTTCTTTGTAGCACAGTAGTACTCCATTGTGTCTAAACACATTTTCTTTATCCATTGATCTGTTGATAAACAAACGTGCGCTTCCAAGGTTTATGGTTGTGAAATTGGGTGGTTTTTTTGTAAAGAAACTAATAAAATCTCTAACTGTTTAATCTGTTATTATAAAGTTTTAATTTTTTAAACATTAATTTTAAGGAAAAATTTTTACTCTCATATTATAAGCACATATATAATGCTAGATATGTGGCAATATATAGCACTAAATATACAAAATATATATATATAGTGCTACATATATGCACTCTATATACTACTGTATATGTGCTATATGTGGCACTACATATAGTGCTATATAGTGATATGTGCTATATATATAGTACTGTGTACTATATATAGTGCTATATCTACAAGGAAATCACCTTAATAGATAGATTACAATTAAAAATAATGAAACAAAAAACGAATATTAAGCTCATATAAAAGATGTTTTATTTATATGTAAAATGAGATTCTATAAACTCATCACTTTTAATAATTCATGATCTTGAAAAATGTTTGAATAAAAGAATGATATACATTGTTAATATAGATTATTAAGATAAAGGCTTCAGAGCCTTGTGTAATATCATTTAATTCATCATACTGTCATATCCTGTATTTAATGAATTATTCTTCCAAATCTACTGTAAAATAAACATTTGTTTCCAAAATGTCTTCACATTTTTCATACTCTGAACTTTCTCCACTTCTTAACACTTTATTTCAGTGGGAATATCAAATGGTGACAACTGAAACTTAGATTATGTTACCTCAAAGCATGGGATATATTATGCATAAAATCTGAATTTCAGATTAGTAAATCAAGGAGGTTGATACTGAATGGCAAGATATTAAATGAACAAAGACTTATTAGCATAAAACTGTCCCCTTGTAACTTCATAATCAAGAGTATTTTTTAAAAGTAACACATTACACCCTGAGAAAAGATGAATTAATGCCAATGCACAACGCCTAATCTCTCTCTTCTTCTCTCTCTCTCTCCCACACACACAACACACATACCCAAACATACACAGGTTAAAAACTATCAGTCAAGATAAATGGAACAGTTGAACGGTTAGTTATAATTTCAAAGATATTCTTTAAAGTACGCACTGTCTTTGCAAGGCCTGTTTAACTGGGAATTTCTTCCCGCAGTTCTTGCACTTAAATTCTTTTTCCTCTGTGGGCTTTTGATGCAATGTTTGGAGATGCTCAGCAAGAATCTCTTCGCTGGGGAAGCTGGATTCACACTGTGGGCAGGCATAGTCCTCTTCACAGCAAAGGGGATCTGCACATGAAAACGCAAGTATTTCTACAAGATGAAAAATCAGAGCCGAGAACTACTAGTTTTTGTCCTCATTTTAAAATCAAGTCAACTGTGTTCATGGAGAAAATTCTAATTTTCTCTATGACTATAACGTGTCATGTGCAAAAAAATACCAGAAAGTGTTACTACAGAGACGTATACTATTTTTAAAATCATTTACTTGGGTTTCACTGAATTAACACAAAATCAAATTCAATTTTTAATTTATTCTGTTAACATTTGAGACCAAATAGTTATTACAAAGGTTGAATTGTAGAACAAAACTTTTCCCCAAGTTCATCTTTCCTTCACACTCTGATTACAAGAAGAAAAATCCAACTGAGGCAAACTTTTTAATTATGAAATCTGACATTATATGCAATACAAGACCAAAATCAAAAAAAACACTGCTGTTCCAGCAGGTGGAGCGAGTGGAGCTCTGTTGTTGCAAAATGCACTAACAGAGATCTGTCCAAACTTCTCAGTGTACCACTAAAAATACAGATACTCTGGTTATTATGTAAAATCTAGATTTAGAAAATAAAGAAAATAAAAATCACCAACACACCCACCTTCCAGAGGCAACACTTCCAGGCATAACTTACCTTTGTGCAAACATAATTTACACAGAATCTAAAAAAAACTACACTTCTGATCACATTTTATACACAATTTCACATGTTGTTCTTTTTTTTTCATGTAACATCTCAAGTCAATTTTTTTAAACTAAAGCTACTATAATTTATTTGATCAGTTTCTCAATTGTTAGCGATCCGAGACACTTCTGTTTCTTCTGCTGGTGTTTTTGTAAATGAGTCTTTAAGAATTCGAAAATAAAAAATACAAGTACCAGGTTGATATGTTTAAAGAACTTTTTTTTAACATTCTGTGGATTCTGTTTACAAAAATAATATAAACTGTTATTTTGATAATAAAACAGAAATCAGAGCAGGAAAAGGTAAATAGGAATATTTTATTTGTAAATTTAAAAAATAAACATAATAATAAATCCTAAATGTGATGCAGACAAAATAAATAAGCCAAAAAACTTAAGTACAGAAATAAATGCTATCGCCAAAAATCTGATGTGTAATATTATAATTTGAAAAATACCATAGACTGAGCCTGTCCTCCTCTCCGTTAAATAATCCAATTAAAATAAATAAACAGCCATACGCTGGCAAGGGTGAAGGAACACTCAGACTTCCTCGCAAGTGTCACATAGCCTAGAAATGGAAATTCTATGAAAGGTCTTACTCTCACAGCAACTATGAAAAGCAGTGTTACTTCTGAAGTGGTTTTACTCATAAAATGGAAAAGTACTGTACAGTAAATATCAGCCTGCTGTGGTCTGAATTTCAGTGAACCTCTAAATACACATTGCAATGTAAGCCCCACAGAATAATATTAAGAGGGGAGCCTGCTCAGAGGTATTTAGGTCATGAGGCCTTTGCCCTTATTGGTGGTATTGGTGGCCTACAAAGTGGTATTGGTGGCCTACAAAGAGGACAAGGAAGCTCATTTGCCTTCCTGTCATAGGGAGACAAAGGTAGAAGCTCCCTTTGTGGAGAGCAAACCCTCATGAGACACCAAATCTGCTGGTGCCCGGACTGTGGGATCTCCAGGCTCTAGAGCTATAAGCCATAAATTTCCATTTTTCATAAACCATCCAGCCTAGCCCAAGTGGGCTGACATGGCCTATTAGCAAATGTGAATGCCTATAAATCACCATTCACATTTCACTCACACTTCCTGCACAGGTAAAACACAACAGACAAAAGCTTCAGTCATAACTATTTGTTTTCCAGTAGCAGACAAGCATGTGAAATCTATCTCCTACACTGCAGGACTGGTTTAAGTACGTCTAACTATGCCATCACAAGTTACTCATCATTAAAATAAACTACTGATCCAGCAGGCTTCTGTGAGCTGAACAGAAAGAGAAGCCCAGAAGTCCAGGATTTTCAAGTGAACTCCAACAGACGGAGTCCTCTGGCTTCCCTGTACACTGTACACTGCATCTCCACATTCATCGTTTCCCATGTGCAGGTGCAAAATTAAACTCAGCTCTCTCTCGGAGAGTACCCTACAGTACCCTGTGTTTTCAGACCAATCGGATCATCAGTGAACACAGAGCTCCATGCCCACCTTCTCTGACAATGCTCTAATATAATGCAAATATAATTCAGAGAATGCAAACTGTATTTTTTCCACAGCTTTTTTTCTCACACATCACCAGTTAAAGCCATACTACCTTTCCTGCCAGTGGCTGACTGTCCTTTAGAATTTTCAACTTCCCCTTCTTTGATCACTGTCATAATCTGCTGCTCTTCCTCATCAGCCTCCATGTCACTGTCCAAGTAGCCGATCAGAAGCTCTGTGTCTGTTTCTATATCTTCAACTGCCAAATAGAAAATGTTTTCGCCTTCCTGAAATAAAGAAATGGGATGCTGAGCCAGTCATTAGTTTCTCGTAGTTACTCTTTCTTTTTTTATTTTTATTTTTATTTTTATTTTTATTTATTTATTTATTTATTTATTTATTTATTTGGTACTGGGCTTCAAACTCAAAACCTGGCTCACGCTTACCAGGCAGGCGTTGTGCCGCTGAGCTAAATCCCTGGCCCCTAGTTACTAACAAATCACTTTAAGATGCATTAACAGGGTACCATGTGCCTGTGGCAAGGTGGTACTGCAATGTTTTGTATCTCCACCTGATCTCAACACTGAAAATGGAAAGTGAAACCATTCTGTTATCTGAAAATAAGACACAAAAATATGTATTAGAAAAAGTGAATTTATATATGCAAATGAAGTAAGAATAATTATATAAAAATGTTAAAATGAATCCTGCAACAGTAACTGACTTTCTGCAAGGAATGCCTAGCAAGCCCATAACTCACTTTGTCAGGCAGCACTGTCATCTTACACACCCAGGCAGACAGCAATGAGACTTCAATGATTTTATTATGACAGATATTAAAAGCCAGATGAAAATAGAAAAAGAAATACCTTCAAATTCCAACACAAATCAGAGGAACTGCAGTTTCACAAAACTTTATTAGCATGTTTGTGACATACTCTTCCTGAATTACACTCACCTAGAGGAACTGGTACAAACACACATCACATCTTAATCACTTTTATCCCTCTGCCCCCTTTCCCTCCTCTCCCCTTCCTTCCTAAAACTCCTTCCCCCATTTCCACGGAATCTAACTCCTTGTTTCCTATCATCTATCTTTATTTTTCTCTTTTACACTATTTATATTTTGGGTCTGTCATATTAGAGAAACTATGCATTATCTAACCTCTGTGTCCTCATATTAGAGAAAGTGTATCACATTTAACCACTGAGTATGATTTATTTTATTCTTATTATGGTCTCAATGTATATCTACTTTCCTACAAATGACTCAAATTTATGCTTCTTTTTGGCAGGGCACTGTATATGTATATATACTTCACTATATATATACCATATTTTCTCTTTCCATTCATTTATTGATAGGCTTATAAGCTTTTCACATAATTTAGCTACTGTGAGTGTGCTATTAAAAAACGTGAGTATGCATGAATCACTACACTGTGAGGACTGAGACTCTTCGAAGAAGATATCCAGGTATATAACTGAGCCAAGTGGCATTTCTATTGCTAGTTAATTTTTAAGAATCTCCATAATGATTTCTATAGTTTGTACCACTAGTTTATGTTTCCACCAATAATGAAAAGGGCTCCTTTTTCCTGACAACCCTGGCAGTAATTATTGTTATTTGAGTCCTTCATGATGGCCATTGCTATCATAATAAAGCAATCTCATTACTGTTTTGATTTACATTTCTATAATGGTCAGTGATTTTGAACATTTTTATATACTTATTGGTTATTTGTACCTCTTTTACTGAAGTGTCTATTTGAATTGACATTTCTGATGGAGTCTTTCATACTGAAGAGGATCTTGATTTTTCTGAGTTCTTTATATACTTTAGATAGTACTCCCCTGAAGAAAGCTAGAAAGGTTTATTTCTCATTCTGTAGACTGACTTTTCAACTCTGTTGGTTGATTTCTTTGCTATGTAATGTAATGAAATGTCATTGGTTGATTCTTCATATTATGCAAATGCCATCTTATCCTCAAAGAATTTCAAAGAAGCTAAGCTAGAATTAGCAGAAAAATTACAACTCTGGGAGATTTAATATAGTGACGGAACCATCATATATTTCTCACCTTCCTAAATCCTACTGAAATGACAAAATATAATAAGGTCCACTATCAACAAAAGAAACGTCTTAGAAAATTCTAAAACACAGAAATGAGACATGATTGAAATGATAGAAAATGATAGGAAACCTCAACCAGGAACAGAATAAGAATGCTGCAAAAACGAAGTCCCAGAGAAACTTTATACTTGGAATCAACTGGTGCAAAATGCCTCTCTGGGATGGAGGCCAAGCCAATCACCACGGAAGCCAGAAAAGAGGCCGCGTAGCTGGTATCCCCAGGAGAAAGGGCCCAGACTCTCCCTCCTTTACAAAACTGAGCAATTGTTCTGGTACAGTTCCTAATTTGGCTGCTAAGGATAAACAGAAGCAAAGCAGAGTCTAAATTTATTGAACCTTCATGGTGGGCAAATGGAGAAAAGGACAAAGAAAATAAGCTCCACTCAAGAGTGAAAATCAGTAAAGCACAGATCGCAGAGCCAATGCCTGCTTTCCTTTGGCAGCATGTGAAGCACTTATGTTAAGAAGAAGGAGAAGCACAAAAGGAACGCAGTAGAAGCAGGGAGAGGGAAAGGAAACAAGAAAGAAGAGGAGCGTGCAATGAATGCATAGTGTGCACAGATTTACACACAAGCAGAACCCTTTGAAAACTGGAAAGATGCGCATCAAACTGTTTCTATAGTTATTCTGAAGCTGAGATAAGATGTCCTACATCCAGTGTTGCTTTAAATTGTATTTTTACATGTAGAGATTCCTTTGTAATTTCAATAACATGTATTAGAAAATTCCACGGAAGAGTGAGAAATGGTTTCTATCTTCATGCAATACTATGTAAGTTCAAGGCACCAAAGACAATCTACCCACTAGGCAGAGTCAACTGAAGGACGCTCCTGCAGTATCTACAACACTTTTGGAAGTTTTCAAATTTCATTCTTCTAGAGTTATTGCTAATTAATAAATACTAAATTCACTTCTATACAATTGTTATTCTGGGTGCAACAAAAATAAACAAGAAACAAAGACTTTCAGCAATAAAAAAAAAGATAAAAGTCTCTTTAAATTAAATCAGAAGTGGCATTTCCCAGTCTGGAGACCACTGGTTTGGAGGATTGCTCGAAGCAACTGCACTTACCTAACGAAGATGTCAGTATAATCGTAAATCTTAGTGTTTATCTGATCAACCTCCAAGAAAGTTAATTGAACTGTCTCTCCAGTGCACTAGCCATTAATTTTGTGATGGCTTTCATAATACTAAGAAAAGATAATTTTTAATTTTAAAACATGATAACATTGTATTAAACTATAACAGCATTATTTATGGAAAGACTCTACATGAAAAGAAAATTTCAATACACCAGCTAAAACTTTAATGAAAAGAACAGTAGCATAACAGGCTGCAAAGGATTGGCCACATTTGCTGTTTGCCATAGTTATGCTACAAAGAGAAATACAATTACAGATATAATAACTTATTTTCTGGGGATGTCTTTCTACACATAGTGGTGTGAAATTAAGACAATATTTAAAGAGAATGCCAATGAACAGATGGGATACACAAATTTGAAAGGCGGAGAGTTCTCCTCCAAAATTACAGAGCAGTGCAAGCCATCATTTGATACGATTTTTTTTATCACAGTCGTTACTTCCATGTTGTAACAATGATAAGGAGCAGATGAACTCAAGACGCCTTCTAGTCCTAACTCTTTCTGATTCCACCACTCCACTAAAACATTTACTCCTGGGTATGTAAACGCTACATCTACTTTTCAAATTTCTTATCTCCCTTCAACATCCAGCACTGCTTATAAACTGCAACTTTCTCCAACAACTTACCCATGGCTCCTTCTCACGTACCACACCTCACTAGGAGAGATTTCAGAAGCTCACGTGTTGGGGATTCCACTGTACTACTTCAAAACAGCAAAAGCAACTCTATCTTGTTTCACCAGAAATACTAATTACCACTGTGTGCAAAGTAATCTAACTCTAGAAGAGGCCACCACGGTATTTCAGCTCCATCTGTCCATGACTTTACTGGTTTCTATTTACTTGTTGGAAGGCTTCTGTACGTGTGTGTGTGACGGCAATAATGACTGTAAAGTTGGCGGAGGCACAATTTAGTGTACTGAAAAGACAGTAAAGTGAACACTCATCCATCCAGCTAAACTGCCTAGAGGGTGAGCCAAGCAAAGAGAAATCATCTTCAAAACAATTCTTGGTCTTATAAATTAACTAATTACTAGTGGGAGGAAATTCCAGACTGCCACTTAGTAATCAATAACAGCAAAAGACAAGTGACAAAGGTAGGAAAAGAAAGTAGAATCAAATGGTAAAATTTTCATATTTAATATCCACTTGCTTAATCTCATCTTCCCCAAACCCTGAATCAGCCTCAAGATGCATTTCATTTCTATAAAGCTCTACATACATAGATGACAGACATCAAGAAAAATAATCTTCACAGTAAAATTCAAAGAACTTCTGCAGAAATAGTTTAACAGTTAAAAAAAAAAAGGGTGGAAAACAGTAACAGATCAAGTATTTCAATTTATTCACTCTGCTCCCACTTTGCAATAGGACTCCGGGCTGCCTGGGTGCATGTTATCAGGTTTGACCAGGGGATGTGCCCTGACTCAAGATGAACACAAAGTGAACCACATTCAAGCAAAGGTTTTAGCCACTGCTTTCCTCCCTGTCTGCCAGAAAATACAAGTCCCAGGTAAGGGCTGATCCTTCAGATACTATGCTCAGCCAAACTGTGGACAGAATCACTGCCTTTATCCGCTCCATGCCTGCATAAGAAATGAAACTTCATTGCAATAAACTAGTGATTTTCCTGCAAAAGTAACTGATGCAGTAATTTAAGCAAAATAATATTTTTAAAAATATTTTATTCGAGAATAAGAAGAAAATATCTTGAAATCAAGAAAAAATGATATGCAGGAAAACAACAAAATGTATTTAAAAAAAAGAATGGCAGAAAACAAATGTCATGTTTAGACTACATTCATCGGGTCCTATAAGAAAAATGAAGTTTCAAACAAATGTAAATCAAACTGCCTGATTTTGAATGGCATATCATAATCAGCCACACAACAAGTAAAATAGTTTGGTTAGATTCTGAACAATAAAATACTACAGCCAGCCAAAAACATCAGCTGTATAAATAAAGAACATCAATCCTGTTCAAAGCATTTTGGAACATCTCACCATCTGACATCATGGAGAAAAGA